ACCAAAATGCTGGGGGAAACAAAGTCCAGCATTTGCACTAGGAGAGTGTGGGCCTTTAACCTCTAATGTGCCCTATCCACTAGAGCGGGCAATGAACATGCTACAGCAGCCAGCTAGGGGACCATGGTTCGGTTTTCAAAGGGGCCAGTGTACCAGGCCTAGACTGGAATTTTGCAGGTCAGGTCTAATGCCAGTTCTTATAAACACTTCCTGGTTGTAAGCACCACATGATGTGCTTTAAGGACATCGCTATCCTGAAATCCTCCACATGTCATGCATGGCAGTGCTTGGCAGAGGTTCAGGTTCAGAGTTCATCAAAAGCAGCTGCTCTGTCAGCAGCCACAAGGGAAGCCAAAAGCAGCAAGATAACTAAGCTTAAAGTGAAGGTCTTTCATTTCTTCCATATTCTGTAGTTAATGCTGCAGCCTGGGTGTTCATTTCACTAATTTGTCCCATGTGGGAAAGACAACCATCCCTGGCTATGTTCAGGAATCTGACCCCGTATAGTTGAGATATTGACTCAGGGGAGACATTTTGAATTTAGGCATTTTATTTAATAATATAGTCCTCAGCCAATTATGGGCCCAATTATATACCTAAGGCTAGGTCTACACTACCCGCCTGAATCGGCGGGTAGAAATCGATCTCTCGGGGATCGAATTATCGCGTCTCGTCGGGACGCGACAATCGATCCCCGAATCGACGCTCTTACTCCACCAGCGGAGGTGGGAGTAAGCGCCGTCGACTGGGAGCCGCGGAGGTCGATTTTGCCGCCGTCCTCACAGCGGGGTAAGTCGGCTCCGATACGTCGAATTCAGCTACGCTATTGCGTATCTTAAATCGACACCCCCCCCCCATAGTGAAGACCTGCCCTAAGAAAATGTTGTACTAGCCCCTGCATTGTCATCTGCCATGTGCTAATCCCATACCGCTCTACTGCTTTCAGCTGTCCACACGCCCCAAGATGTTCAATATGGTACAAGTGAGGGACGGTTGTAGGGAGTGATACTGAATTGAGGAGAGGAAAACACTTTTAGGAGTGGTAGGACACCATCCCGTAGAAAAGAATAAGTGCTAAAGAAGTGGAGGGGAATGACTGCGAGTAATAAACAGAGAAGAAGCCCAACCTCCTTGGGAAGAAGATATTCTGCTTTGTATTTAAAGTTAGTTTGATCCTTTGTCAGCGCAAGTGGTTTTGACAGGGCCCAGATGGGAACAGTTCATGAACATACAAAAAAGAGAAATCATTCAGCAAGAGGCAAAGCTGACCTGGCAGGAGGTCAAACTGTGAGGCTGCAGATCCTCTGGAACAGATGTGTGTGTGTGAGATAACGTTCTGGGAACTATACAAAACGGGAGTGTTTGGGGCACCTATTTGTGTGCCTAGGAGAAGGAGAAAGAAATAGGGTTTTCTTATGGCTGCACTCAAGAGAAAGGGGTATTTGGGCATCCCAATGCAATCAGAGGGCCCAAACGCAAGAGTTGGCAGGTGATTTGTGTACTCAGTTTAAAAAATTGGAACCACAACCTCACTATTATTAGGATTATATGAGATAAGTGCCTAACACAAGGTGACCCTTTATAAACACCTAAGAGGCCGTTCCAAGCCCCAAAGAGCTTACAGTCCAAAGAGACAGAGAAAGGTGTAGTGCCTTGGCCATAGTCACCCAGCAGGGTAGTAGCCAAGCTGGGAATGGAATCCAGGACTCCGGACTCCTAGTCCAGTGCATTATCCACTCCACCGCACTGTGCCCAAAACATTTTTACTGAACAGATTCCACCCTCGGGCAATGGCAGAACCTTAACGGACCTGTGCTCATTACATTGCAGTCCCAGGCCAGGATGTTTCTTTGGTTGGCCACTTTATTTCCCTTTTAAAAAGTATTCTTCTATCACTAAAAGTAGGAATACAGAATGTCATTACAAACGTAAAGCCTGAGGTCAAATTAAGACTAGGAAGAAGAGAGTTAAATGGCAGCCATTTCATCCGTGACACATCAGTACCATCTGGCTATTCCAGCCTGGCTTGTGCAGCCCGGAGGGTCACACAGTCTTCTCCTCTTAGGGATATTGCAAGGATCTCAGAGTGGCACATGAAGGCTGCCTCATCGTCCTGAATTCCCTGCTCTGTTGGTTCAATTCAGCCAGACCCTTAAAGGAGACGGTGTATTCTCAGAATTTAACCATTACAATTATCGTCTGGTAGGGAGGGTCTTCAAAATTCTGCATCTCCAGTTTTATTTGCAATTACACCCTACTCTCCCTAACCCCCTATTCCCCCAACTACAACAACACCCCAAACAAACAACCCCAGTAAAAAGAACAACACAACAACAACAAAAAACAAAAACAAAAAACCCACCCCAAACAAAAAAAACACAACAAAAGTCGCCAACGAGCCTGATCCAAAGTCCATTCAAGTTAATGGCAAGACTCCCATTGACTTCAAGCCCGAATCTTGTAGGGCCTATGCTAAAAACAGGACATGGTAACACGAAGAAGAAGATGCTTTAGCGCAGACTAGATGGGCGCACAGTTTGTAGGCAAACACCCACCACACTTTTCTCCTATGATTTTCCTAAGTAACAGTATCTAACAAAAAAGTAAATAGGCAGGAGGGGACAAGTGGGGCTTTCCTATAAAGCGCCAGATTGTGTGTGTCCCCTTTACACCCGTAGGACCATTAGGGAGGTGTAAACAAGAGCACAATCTGGCTCGTGATTTTGACAAAGACCATGCTTTTCCTTGAAATGAATCAAAACAAACCAGCTCAGGAAACCTGTAAGTAAGACTACGCTCCAGACTATACTCCTTCCTCAGGGTCCCCAGGGCCTCCCCTAGCTCTCGAGCTTTGCACTCATGGTTACGCCGACGCCAGTGGACTCTCCAGGGTGGCGCATGTACCGCTGAACTCCTTGCACCATCTCTTCTGAGACAAACATGCAGCCAGCCAGCTAGTTCTTTCCATTCCAGCCTACAAGACGCTCCCCACCGAAGCAGGCCCCCTCCAAAGCTCCGGGCACCCCTACATACATTTGAAAACACAGTAACATCAGGGTTACAAAGCATAAAGCTGCCTGGGGCACCTCCCACCTAGCACACCTCATTCTGCCATTAGCTAGGTGACTAAAACTCTCCCTGTGCCTTCCCACCAGCCAGAAATCCCTCTTGCAGCTGCCTCGGCCCTCTGCCAATGGCTGCTCAGACAGAGGCCTGGCAGTCTGCCTGGATGGGCAACAAATGTGGGCATTTCAGATGCTGGGTTTGGGGGGAGACTGTTCCAGAGGAAAGCAAACTTTACAGGGAACTTTCTGCCAGCAGCCCCCTCCCCTTTATAATAGGGCAGGGCTCCAGCTCCTTTGCTGGTGGCTAACATGGTATTAGGGCAGCTTTGTGCTGAGAATCCATACTCATAAGGGCCTACCTAGACTGTAAACCCAACTCAAGTGGGGGAATGAGTTATAATCCAGCCACACGCTCGCTTTTTTTCTTTTCTTAACATAGAAATTGCCAGAATGGATCAGCACCATGGTCAGTCTGGTCTAGAATCCTGTCTCTGTGGCCAGCGACAGTGGCCAGCATTGGGTGCTTCAGAGGAAAGTGCAAGAAATCACCTGACCTCTAGTAGAGACTAGATAAAACCCTGATGCATGAGGGTTAATGTCTCTTCCAAAATGTTTGCTTGCATTAAGTATAGTAACACTGGATATTCTTTGTTCTCATAACAGTATCCAATCCCTGCTGGAATCCCGCAAAGTTTTTGGCTTCCACTGCATCATGTGGCAGTGAGTTCCACAGTCTAATTACACAAAAAAAGCATTTCCTTTTGTCAGCTTTGGGTTTGCCAACTTCTCATTTCCATTGAGCGTCCCCTTGCTGTTGCCAGCATCCTGCCCTCACATGTGCAAGCTTGTGCTGTCGGCAGGCTGAGCATGCAGAGATGCACCATACACCGTAAGCCAACTGAACAAACACGCAACCACCTCCCAGTAGCCCACAAGCTTGCTGCTAACTGCCCAACCTGGGAAATGACGCAGTTGTGGTTTATTTCTAGGATCCACCAATCCATTCCAGGAAATTCCAGTTATATACACAAGGAAAAAATAGCCCGATTCCCAGAGGTCCTTGGGCTCTCCGCACGAGTAGGGAGGTGAAGCAAGGGCCTCTGAGCCCTTAATGTGTCAAGGCAACTCAACTCTTTGGCTGTGGGCCAGGAATTTTTCTTGTGGATTTCCAGCCACAGCCAGGAGATTCTCGGGTGCTAGAAGAGCTTTTAATTTAAACCAGGTGCCTGTGAAAAGCAAACACTCATGAAAGGCAAAACTTGGTTGCTTTCCCTCAACAACAACAACAAAGGGCAATCACGCACATTTCACTGAAATATTTCACTTGGAACCAGCTCCTCGCTTGAAACGAGCTGCTGAAACCTCATCCATTTGGGCAATCTGCATGACACAAACTACCAATATTTCTGGAGCCAGAAAAATAGTTTAGCCGAGTGCCAGCTGAGACTGCCCGGAGCTGCCGAGCGAGAAATCTTACAGTATGGAAAGCACACAGGCTGGCGGAGAACAAAGGAAAACTGTTTTTGTAACATTCCCCCCCACTCTCTCTTTTTGTTGCTGTTGTCTGTAAACGCAGTGCTGCCAGGGAAGGCTGCAATCCTTCTGAGCAGGCGGATGCGGTATAGGGGGATAGCAGGCACTTGGAAATACAGGCAGAAAACGTAGCATCCTGTCCTATCCACTGCAGAAAATAAATGTCCCAGTGGTCTCCTCTTCTACCGCCAGGCTAGGGTGCTTGCCCCGCTGGGAAGAGAAGTTGATCACTACAATCATGCAGGAACATGGTTAGAGTTAGTAGGGTCCTCTCACTACCCAGTGGGGACTGGCGCTTTCCTCTTCCTCGGAGCTGTGCTAGTAAAACAATGCTGCCAACCATCATCGAGGGCTATACCTAGAACCACACACCTCCCACGCCCTGGAGTTCTCCTGACTTACCCGGCTATGACAATGAAAAAATCCAGGCGATTCCACGTATCTCCCAGGTAGCACTTCTTCCCGAAAATCCCTAGTGCAATCATCTTGACTATCATCTCCACGGCAAAGAAGGCAAAGATGAAGTCATCAAAGCTCTAGAAAACAAATCAGCAGCAGGAGGTCAGAAGAAACACAGCTGCCCCCAGCAGAGTGGCAAGAGAAGGGAGTGTATCCGATGGTGAGAGAACACAGCACACGGTTATATTGTTAGGTCAGATGTCAATCCCCTGACCGGTGACGGAAGAGCCAGTGCACTGTAGACCCAGGGAGAGATGCTATTTTAGCTGTAGAGGACGATAACCCAGACATAGTTCAATACATGTTCTCCAGCAACTGGTACTTTAAAAATCATGCTAAAGTTAGTGCTGGTGAAAGGTATGAAAGGCCTGATCCAAAGGCCATTGGAGTCAATGAGTCTCTTCATTGATCTGAGTGGGGTTTGGATCAGGCCCTGATTAACAGCACTGAGGATTCATGTCACCAAGCAGACACAGCTCATAGAGCAGCAGTGCGTTCCCTGCCCCACGTGCCTCCACCCTAGTCTACTGGGAAGGAACCAACTTTTTTTGAAGGGGTGGGGGGATCAGAGAGCATTTAAGGCTGTGTCTGCACTGCAAAACTGACTGTTCAAAAACAAAACCCAATTGGTTTCAAGCTGAGCTACGTTGCGCTGGCTTATAGGTGCTCTGTCTGTCACCACTGAGTGTGCCTTGGTGCAGTTAAATCAATGGCTGGCCACTGGTGGCTGAAACCCCCAATGAAGGCAAGAATTCAACCTCCCCAAGGCATACGGCTGGGAGCAGCTACTGACATAGTTGAGATCATGCTAGTTTTCTCTGTGTCTGGCTTTGTAGGTGGAAACAGGGAGTCTCCTTCTGGAGTCCCGTGGGTACTTGTGAGCACTAACAACCAGGGGGGCTTTGTGAGCCACTGCCGTGCCCCTCCATTGGAGTAAGATCAGTAAGGTGAATACATGCCCATACCTGGAGAATCCTGCAGCGCGGAGAATCACAGGCCATGTCTTCACAGGGGTGGAACATGCCCAGCGTCACACAGTTGAGGAGAATCACCAGCATGCTGAGCCTTTCGAACCAGGTGCACGGGAGGTCCGTTAAGGAAATCAACAGCCCTTTCAAGACACAAGCTGGAAAGGGTCTACGAGAACTAGACACATCATGTTCGCTCATAGATAGAAGGAAGGCAGAGCACCAAGGTAAGGAGGAAGGAAAGAAGGAACAGCAGGTTGGCCAGGCCTTTTTCTGTCTGAGACTCCCCAAGCCTGGTCTCCTTAAAGATGGCCATTCCCTTCCTGACTGCAGTCTCTGCTTGAACTGACCAGCTGGTACGATTACTTCTGCGTGATACAAACTTCTGGCTGGGGAGAGACCACTCAAATTAGACTAAGGACTTCTCATGGGAGTATCACCATCAAGGAAAAACCTCTCAGTGTTACTGAACACGTCAGCACTGTCTGGGAGTCCCTGCAGAACTCCCCAAAATTTCTGAGGTTCTGTTCTAATAGGCATTGGGTCTCGTGTGAAACCTGGCATAGATTCTATGGGGGGGGGAGGGGAGTTCTTCAGTTATTTCGAAGTCACAGTTGGCAACCTGTGTTTTTTCATTGGACATTTGAGCCTGAAAAATCTCTTTTTAAATATGCCTTCTTTAAACCTTCTTCCCTAGGGCCCTGAGCCAGCAAGGTACGTAAGCAAGTAGCGGAATTGTCCCCACTGAAGTCAATGGGATTGCTCACACATGTAAGGTAAGGCACGTTTGAGCACTTGCTGAATTGTGGCCTAGATTCCTACCTAGCCTTTTACAGGAATCCTATACTTTGTGTATTTATAAAAAGTTTACGTAATTCACTTTAAATTTTGTAGTCCGTCATCTCACACAATCTAACACCATGCAACTTTATTTTGTATAGCGTCTTCTATGCTAGCCATATCCCACCAAAGCTACCATGGGAAAATCTGCCATCATTGTGTTATGCAAGTACCAAAATGGTATCTGGGCATAATCAGTTTCCATTCCTAGCATTTTACAGAAAGGCACTGGAGTAAATAAGCGATTGCACTTTCCATTCTTAGTCCAAATCACCACTGGCTGGAACATAAACCAACTGCCTAGAAGGAGAGTGTGGGAGTCAACCAAATCCACCCCCCGGACGGCCACATTTTAGAAGAGTTTTAAATATCTGAGCTGCATTGGGAGAGATTTTGAAAGCTGTTATTTTCTAGGACAGGCCAACCGGAGCAGCAGCAGCAGCAACAAAGCCACATAAGGAAGTTTCAAACCTGGTATGGAGCAAAAGGAATTTCTCTGTGTCCCTCTAGTGGACATTTCCAGTGATTTCAAGGCTACCGTGGACATGGCCCATGAAAGCTTAGGCTCAAATAAATGTGTTAGTCTCTAAGGTGCCACAAGTACTCCTGTTCTTTTTGTGGACATAAAGATGATAAAGAAAGGGACCAATTCAATGCACTTTAGCTTTACCATTCAACCTAGCGCCAGACTCACCTGCCTCAACCTTGGGTTTGGCTCCAGCTTCATTTGAAGGACATTTGTAAAGCCTCAGTCTCCAGCCACAAGAGAAAGAGCGACGTGTCTGATCGAGACACTTAACCTTGCATCCAGAATGTTTCGAGATCTCATTTGTTTCCCTTGTCACAGCTTGGCAGCCGCACGGCCTTTTGTTTGGCTCTGGCACATTCTTGAGGTGTCTGACCATAACTGTTCCTTGGTGCGGCACTAAAGAGCAAAGATCTCTCTCTGGCGGGGTTTATAATACAGCTGCACTGCAGGATCTTTGCAGTGTTTACCACTGGGGTCCCAGCATGGCTCTGAAGTGACTAAATAGCTTCGGGACCGGCTGACTGGATGGCAGAGCTATAGAACACAGGCTTGGCCACACACAGCTTTTCCATGGGCAATAAAAGCTCCATAAGCCAAACCCCAGTTAACTGAAACGTAGTGGAGCAGAGGTGGGATATGTCCCCCAGCTGGGCAGTCAGCTGAAGAGGAAAACAGACAGAGAAGGTGCCCAATGGGCCAGCCAAAGAGAGGGGAAGAAAGAAACTACATGAAGCACGTCGATTTCTGTGCAGAAGCCCTTGTATGTAATACCCAGGCTGCGCCAAAAAAAAAACAACCCAGCAATGCAACCAGGGGCCGCCCTCATCTTAGACAGCGAGACAATCCATGGAGACTACAGATCCCATCATGCACTCTGCCACCTTGATCCACTCAATCAAATGAAGATGATGCATTGCAGTAGTCGCCATGGGTCACATCTCTGTGTCAAAGATGACAGCAGCTTCCATCCACTCCATTGTATACAATGGAAGCATGGCCTTTGGGAACTCGAAACACTTCCAACGCAGGCCGAGCTGGACAAAGTTTGGGAGCCCCTACTATATTGTTATTCGCCATAAAAGGTTAGAAATGAAGACGACCTGACAGGTGTCTCAGTGGGTGATGGGACAGGGACCTTGGGGCATTCCTCTCTTGTGGACTTTCCTACATAGATTCCTGTTTAATCACAGGCAGAGGAGTCAGTATTTGTTTAGCTGGCAACCTGGATCTTTTATTCTGAAAAAGTGTTTACACGGTATTGGAACAGAAATTCCAACTGTCAGGTTGTGGTTACAGCCTGGAATATTTATCCCAAATATAGTCTATGGGGGCATGCATACATGGCCTAGCAAAGGAGGGGCGGAACTCTCAGAGAGATGGCAAGAGATGTTCCCTGCATTTGATTGGGTTGGCCAGCATCCATCTGTGGAGCCAGGGACTTCCACAGCTCTGCCAGTGATGAACTGCAAAGCCTTAAAGAAAATAAAGAATAAAAAAGACTGTTTAAGATCCCAGGTCAGCAATAGAATGTGTGTCAGACAAGAGCTGTGCAAAATATTCAGCGCCGAACCGAGTGCACTTAGAATTAACCTACTTAGTGACATAAGAGCAGACACACGAAAGCTTCCACGAGCAGGCCATGTGTCTTGGAAATTCTTCCAGGACCGTGGAAAATGCAAAAGGCAGGTGTAATTCTCCTCACGCTGTCTATTGTCAATGGAAATTGGGAGGTAGAAGGTGGTGCTGCTTTCGCTAGAAGTTCCTTGGCGCATGTACATGGTATCATCTGGTTCCCCGGCTGGCTGAGCACAGAGGCTCCTTTCGTGCAGAGAGGCTATTGCTGCAGCGTGTGCCCTCTCCTGCTTTGTGCCATTTCCAGGTTGTTTCTTCCCCAGGGGTCGGAGCCCCAGGGTTCCCGAATGCCCACTTGCCAGGGCCAGTGCCAGGTGTGTCTGTTGTAGATGCCTGGCAGCAGCAGCAAGGGCTGACCTGTGTGGCTCCTCGCTGCAGTGTGAAGGAGGAAGGGCACTCACTATCCCCACAATACCATTGTGGGATGGGGGAGGAGGGAAAACAATGGCCTTGTCACATGACCTCCCCTAAAGATACCAGAGGATGGACAGTTGGGTAGTTAAGGCACTGGATGCGGGACTCAGGAGATCTAGGTTCAATTTCTGGCCCTGACACAGACTTCCTGTCTGACCTTGGGAACGTTATTTAATCTCTGTGCCTCAGTTCCCCCATCTGCAAAATGGGACATTACTACTTTGTCTATTTAGATTGTAAGCTCTTTGCGACGGGGACAGTCTCTTATTCGGTCTATGGGCAGCACCTTGCAGAACAGGGCCCTGAGCTCAGGGAGCACTGCTGCAATACAAATACCAATGAGTTACAAAGAATATTTCCCCTTTTCTTTGTCCAGCCGGAATTTGCCAGCAGCTTCCTACACCCTTCCTCAGCTGATAACCAACAATAGAGTGTGGAAGATTGTGATGGCTTCAAAATGGACTGAGAGAGGGGGAAGCCTCAGGGCAGAATAGCAGCAGACACCACAGACCAAGCAGTATTAAAAAAGCTTGTCGGTGTTGCAACCCAGGTGGAACTTGACCAGTCTGGGCACTGTGCACCTCCAGAGAGATCTCACAGGGGTAATGTAGTACAGGTAATTGCAGCTGGAAGCTGTCTGCACTGCTTACAGTCCCCCCAGCATGGAGAGGTATCTAGTGTTATTAGGTCTAATATTTAATGTAAGCCTTGCACAACTTATCACACCGTAAGCAAAGTATTTGGGGCCAGATTCCGATCCCCTTATTCTCCCTGAGTAGCACTTTTCTCCACGGGAAATCCCAGTGAGTCAACGGAGCTACTCATGGAATAAGAAGTTATTCAATGTGAATAAGGAAACCAGAATCTAGCCTTCATTGAATCCCTTATATTACAATGGAGAGACCGTGCATCTGCTCAGCAACTGGACCTCGCTGCCTGGAATTCCCCTTCCAGTAGGAAGGTAGACAACAGAGCGACATTGACTAATGCAGGCAATTCTTCAAGGAATAGCACTTGTGTATACTAACTATACGCTACCTGGAAAACTATTCGGATCATCTCTCACATCACAGCTCACAGGGGTAATGCACAGTGACTGTAGGTCTGTAGCTTTAGCCAACATGTTGGTTACAGTTACTGCTTGCTACATAGTCCCATTCAGTCTATGGTGGTGCGGTCTAAATCAATGTGTTCCTTTTTAGTACCACCCAAGGGGGCTGCTTAAAGCTTAGGTTCTGCAGGGAAGCCTGCTACATACACCTCTACCTCGATATAACGCTGTCCTCGGGAGCCAAAAAATCTTACCGCGTTATAGGTGAAACCACGTTATATCGAACTTGCTTTGATCCACCGGAGTGTGCAGCCCTGCCCCCCCCCACCCAGAGCACTGCTTTACCACGTTATATCCAAATTCGTGTTATACCGAGGTAGAGGTGTAGGTAAACTAAGAGCTCAAGCCTCTCTCTAATGAGCAGGCCATACAGAGCTGGGCCCCTCCTGCCTGCATAACAGCAGGCTGGGTCCTCCTATTAAGACCATGGCAAGGTCACAAGCAGAGCTACCAGGTTTTCACCATGCACAGCTACTCCCCTTGCTGCGTCATGTCAAAGTGCTTTACCCACGCTGCCTTCCCATCGGGAGTGTCATGCACAAGGGACTGATTCCTGAGCGGGGGATTTGACATGTAAATCTGA